TTCTAGCCATCAGCTGGGGCTCAAGAGGCAGCGGGACTGAGGAGGCAGAATGAAAAATCGGGACTTTTTTGAAACGCCGCGGGACACGGGACAAATTGCTAAAAATCGGGACTGTCCCGCCAAAAGCGGGACGTCTGGTCACCTTAGCCTATCACACTCTTGGGCAAAGCATATGAACCATTTCCTCCTTTCAGTGGCCCATGAAAGTACATCTATAGTAAGTAGATGCAGATAATAAAGTCGAAAAAAGGTGAACAACATTTTTACAGAACTATAGATATGTTGAGGCCAGGCATGACATGGAGTAGCTGGGAGGGGAGGGGCTGGGTGAGGCACCCCTTGATATGAGTGATGTTGAGTTGGCCACACCCACCCAGTCACATGATTACCCAGTCACATCCACCCAGTCACATTACCACCTAGCCATGCCCACCTAACCACGCCCATCAAGCTACGTCCACCAAGCCATGCCCACAGAACTGGTAGTAAAAAAATTGAATCCCACCACTGTTTTAAAGTATCTATATTTTGCTTCTGTACTATCAGCACTGATGTTTAAAAAATGACAATGGACAGTCTTGACGGAAAAAGAACAGAGTTGTGCTATTAGGGAGATAGCAGATAAGTTTAATAAATAAATAGTCACATAAAATTTGAGTCTGGGACAGAATTGAGACAAGAGAACATTTTTCAATCAAGACCTTTGTTAGGCCTTAAGAAGATATGGGGCAGGGGGAGTGAATTCAGACATGCAATATTTTTGCTATTTTTATTTTTATAAAGATAGGCATGCAATATTTTTATTATCTTTGTGATAAAAGTAATATTCACTTCCATGACTTTGGTTTGCAGATCTGGTTTATTTTGAGAGGCTGATAATTTCAATTCCAGTATCCTTCTGCATATGTCCTGAGAATTCTGTTCTAATGCCCTACAGAACAATTGGCTCGATGGATCTTATTCTTTGATATATTAATAGATAATCCAATTAACACTTTTTAAAAGGCTTTTCTATCTTAGATTTCTCCTATCAGATTACTTACAGGTATTCATAGATAAGGAAAGAAAACAATTCACATTTATGACTATCAGAAAACAGAAAGAAGAAATAATCAGTAGAAATCCTTTCTATCATATGTATGTATATGTGGTAAAGAAGAAGATATCACACACACACTGTGAGTTACACAGTGCTTTTAAGGCAATGCATATTCTCCCCTTACTAGAGAGATTACCAGGGAGGGCAGACTATTTTTATGTAGACTATCTCCTCCGGGACACAAAAACAGCTACTATGCTTGCAATAGGAAAATTGTGTGCTGCTGCAATGACCACAAGGAAAAAAATTGGTTACAAGACTAAAGATGTTTTCTTGTACCAATTTTTCGTAGATATGTCGAACAATTTTTAGAGAATCTATATTTATACTCTAGAATCTATATTTATACTTATCTATATTTATAGAATCTATATTTATATGGAATCTATATATAAAACAGAAAGTATATATTTATACTTATCAACTTATCCATACTTATCCACTTATCCACACATGGGCACAATACAAACTGTATGATACAATGTATGTTATTGTTATCGATATTATTATTTACTATTGTTACTGGTATTCTCTTTTAATATTATTGTAAATAGATTATTGTTTTTTGCTGGTCTATGACCATAATGGCAATAGTACTTAGACTTATATACCGCTTTACAGTACTTTTACAGCCCTCTCTAAGCAGTATACAGAGTCAGCATATTGCCTCCAACAATCTGGGTCCTCATTTTACCAACCTCAGAAGAATGGAAGGCTGAGTCAACCTTCAGCTGGTGGGACTTGAACTGCTGAACTGCTGGCAATCAGCAGTCAGCAGAAGTAACCTGCAGTACTTCACTCTAACCACTGTGCCACAACAGCTCTTAAGGAACTTTATTTCTTGAAATATATCCATATAAATCTTATATTCTAAATATTTTTAATTTGAATATTGTTTGAGCAAACAATAAATCAACTACCACTGATAATTCTATAACCAAATAATATGGAAATGGAGAAAATGTCCATAAAAATAGACTGTTAAAGCTTCCTTTACAAGAAAAGTTATATTGAGACTGTTCAGTATAATTGTCCAGTTTTTCTGAACTATTTTTATGACAAGGAGAGGAACAAATATCCTCCAGAACATTTTGTAAATGAAACTTGTGTAATGTCTTTTGACTCATTATTCCTTTTGTTCTTGTTGGCAAAATTGCTTTTCCAGTTTTCCAGTTTTGTTCTCAATAGCTAAAACATAAATCAAAATCAACAAGGTTCCTTTTAAAATAAAGTCTCAGTGTTATTTATAAAAGCTAAAATGTGGTGAATCATAACTGCAATTTTATTTAATATTTGTAAAATTTATTTAATATTTATTTCAATTTCACTTAATTTATGAGATGGTTAGGACTGACAATTATATGAGAATTAGAAATACTAGGAAATGAGATTAACAGTTAAGAGGAAAGCTCACAGAAATGAATTATGTGTTAGTATCAAGGAAAAAAAATTGTTTGTCAAATTTAATTGAAGAAAATCCAAATAATATCCATTCTTGGAATAGATCTATTCTTTCAGAAAAATAAGTACATTCTTTTGCATTGCTATTTTTATGCATCAACAAGCTCTACATTTTCAACTTAATAATTATTTTTTTTGTTTATCTTGTATAATTTTAATATTTTTCTTAAAAGTTCTGTCTACTTGTGGAAGAATTATTCCAATCTCTCATGCAACACTAATTTTCATGAGAAAAGCCCATTAGGCTTTCTATAAGTCCTTTATAGAACATTTCTTTATCCTTATTTAAGGCATACAATCCAAATATCAGATTTTTAACCCCATGGAAATTAATTTCCATCTCAACATATCTACCATTTCATCAGTCAATTGAAATTGGGTGTTTATATGCAAAACAGTTCCATTCTTGTCAAATATTTATATCTTTTTTTTTATAGGTGTTTCTTGAAAGCAAATTTATTTTTTCAAATAATGATTTTTTGTTAATTTTTGAAGAGCATTAGGTCCATTTAAATTCCATGTTAAGCATTTGTAATCCATAATAAATGGATTGAATTATATACTAATTGTAAGCAGCTAAGAAGTAGAAGTAAAACAATGATGTTGATTTTCCTTAAAGTTTTACCTAACATAAACTACATTTTATTGTACATAGTCTCTTCAACAAAAAATGGATTTTTAAACTTTTCCCTCTAACTTTTTAGACAGGAACGAATGAGCCAATATTTTCTGTACTAAATCCAATAGAAGCAAAGTACTTAAAAGGATTATACAGATTATTGCAAAAGCAGATTAGGCTCTGCAAAGTCATTTCTTGCTGCATCTGCAGTGATTAATAGGGTGTAAATTGGTTATTTCCCTAAACCTTGGATCAAGCAAGGTAGACATGATACTGCCATTCTGATTCACAGGACACCAAAGAACTGCTGAAGTGTGTAAAGGAAGTATGGAAATAATATAAATAGTTGCTTTTTGAATGCAACAAAAGTAAGAGCATGTGTCTTTTTTAATAACAGTTTATCTCTTTAATCAGTGACATTATCAATTTTCATTGTAAATAATATCATCAGGCTGTGCTGGATGACATGAATAACCCCTTCCTCTGTGCTATAATGTACATAACCTTCCTTTCGAGTTATGTCCTACATTCACAGCATTCACAAAAATAAAAATCATTAGGCTATGATTTTCACAATGCACAATGCATTTTCTTGATGGGGTTAAGATCACATACCATATCCGTTTAGAGTTATGATTTTGCGAATCCTGATCAAACCTTTCTTGATAGGGTTAGATTCAATATGTCATGTGAGCTTAGTATTATGACCTTGTTAGTGCTGCACCACTTTAGATGCAGGTCACATCTGAGGAGGAGATCATACCTGGGAAGGTAACTTGTGCATGTCATATCTGTGGTAGAAGAGTATCATGTCATATCTAAAGGAAGGACTTCTGATGTGATCTAATGATATTACTGATTAATAAAACAGATAAACCATCATTCAGAAAAGCATACACTTACGTCTATAGCAAATGGCCTGTAAAAATAATACTATATACAAATATATGCATAAATATATGTATGTGTTTGTGTATCTATTTGTGCAAGCTAAAGCAAAACACATATGTCAGTATCATTCTTAGATATGTTAAGCATTACTATTTGGTGGGGTGTTATGTTTGTGGATCAATGCAAATCGATGGGAGATGTGGATGTAAACTGAAGTGATAACTATTGAAATCTGAAGGAAATATCTTATATATTTCCTAAGGAAAAGAATATTTGGAGAGTACATCTCTCAAGTGAAAAATTGCAAGTTCCCTTTTGCTGATCCTTTGACTGTATCCTTACAACTATGCCAGAAAATTGATGAGAGGTATGAGAAAACATTAATGTGAAGACAAGCTTGTGGAACAATCATTTCTGAATTTTATTCAGGGCACACTTTTTAGGGCAAAAAAAGTTGAAAATGAGAAAAGCAAGGATGGTAGCTGCCAGAGCTGATCTTGATCTGTTGCAAAAGAGAACTGAAGGATAGTGCTGTAAGATTTTTTTGATGAGTCACAGTCTTAATTACAAGAGGGATTACTGACCTGGCTAATGTTGAGCATACTTTAAGACTTCACCCTCAAATAGCCCACAAATGTAGACTGAACAGTTTTTAATTAATTAATTTTTATTGGAGCCATACCACTTTTGGAATGAAATCCAATTTTACTGCCATCAGCAGATATTTCATTATTACTGAGACAATGTGAAATATATTCATTATGTGGATTTTATTTATTTATTTATTTATTTTGCTTTTGTTATTTGAGATGTTGCAGGAACTTGGATATTTAAGTATCATGTTTTCAATATACCACTTTGTTTTCAAAAGTGATAGGGCAATAAACCCATGTAGAAATCTATAAAATGTCATGCTTTTTTGTTTTTCAGAAAAATGTGAAGAACCTCTGGTCTCCAGCTTAGCACCCTCCTTCTTCAGCAGTTCATCATCTCTGTCATCTACATCAAATAGCTATTCGCCAGGGTTTGCCAAACTAAACAAAAGAGGAGGTAGGACTTTTGTTTTTAAAACTTTGAATTATTGTATATTATATTATTATATAATATTTATTTATTTATTTATTTATTTAGTATATATGGGTGTGTGTGTGTGTGTGTGTATAGTTAATATTTCGGCAGGAAGCACCCATCAACATACATTGGACAGACCAACAGAAGAATGAGTGTGTGCATCGAGGAACACAAAAACTCAATACAAAAGCAAGAACACACATCATCATTAGTTCAACATATAAATACAACAGGACACAACATTAATTTTAATAAAACAAAAACAGTTGCAAAAATAGAACATCTCAATGGCAGGATAAGAAGAGAAGCAATAGAAATAGAAAAAAGACCATATTGCATGAATAAACGGGATGACACTTCACGTCTGCCTACTATTTGGAAACCTGCTCTCATAGATAGACGAATCTTAACACCATATATAAAACATAAACCAAACATTACACAAAAAAATCCCAACCAAATCATATTCAAACCAGCCACAAAGATGAAGCCCTGCCACCTAGTGGAAAAAAACCGACCATACACCCGAAGCCAAGCCAATAAACACATACTGGGACTCCCAACCAATCAGAATGAAAAGGTGGAGCCATCCCAGAATACCAGCACCAGATTTGAAATACCAACGTCAGTTAGTGCAAAATGACTGCTGACATAAGCCTGATGATGGCAGATGGGATTCTGCCGAAACGTCGCTTCTACCCTTTTAGGGATATATCCACAATTACACGGGAAGAAACCTGAAATATTAACTATACACACATACATACCCGTGAAAACTTACATAAACATATACATATATATATGTGTAGGTCTTTGGTTATTCGGGTTTTCTCCCGCGTAAAATTGGAGGTTTCTTGGCAATGTTTCGACAAAGTCTCATTCGTCATCTTCAGGCTGGTGTTCTCGGCTTCATGCTTCTAGGAACAATGTGTATGATCGCAGCTGTTTCTTCCTTTTAACTGCCAGTGGGGGTATGAACTGATTGGGTGGGAGCTTGGCTGTGTTCTGATTGGGCGGAGGTGTGTTCTGATTGGTTGGGGGTTTGGCTGTGCTCTGATTGGATGGGTGTGTGTTCTGTTTAGGTGGGGGCTTGGTTGTGCTCGGGTTAGTCTGAGTAGCAGGGGGATTTGAGCTGGTGAGCTGTGTTGCTGTTGTTTGGCTTCGTGTTCGTGACCGTGCTATCTCTTCATGGTGGGTGTCAGTCTGCTTCATGTATGGATTGGAGGGGTTTAAAGTGGCTAATGATGCAACTGTGGTCTGGCTTCTGGTCCGGGGTCGTGCCTCATCATCAGTGTGGGTTCGAGTCTGCTTTCTGCGTGGATGTGTGGTGGCTACATCCTGTGTGGCTCTCGTGAGTGTGGGTCTGGTGTCATTCTTTGTGTTACGGACTCGTTTGTCAATAAGGGCGGGTTTCCAAATGGCTGGTAGGCGGGAGGTATCATCTCGTTTATTCATGCTGTGTGGATGTTTTTCTATCTTGATGGCTTCTCTGATTATTCTGTTGTTAAAGTGTTCAGTTTTGGCGATAGTTCTGGTCTTTTTAAAGTCAATATTATGTCCTGTGGCTTTGAGGTGTTGGACCAGGGAAGAAGTTGGTTCCTCTTTTCTGACTGAGTTCTTGTGTTCTTCAATGCGTGCACTTATTCTTCTATTGGTTTGTTTCTGGGCTTTTTTTTTTCTGGCAGCCAGCAGACCCTTTGCTGCCTATTGGGAGACTAAGATAGATCTATTTTGGCCTTATAAGGCCTCATCAGTTAGCCACACCCTCATCTGATGTATCCTCCCTGTAAAGGTACAATATTTGTTTTCTTTCTTTTTCGTAGGTTTTATGTGTGTAAAACCTATGAAAAAGAAAGAAACACACAAACACACACACACAAAACACACACAGATATATATATATATATATTTCCTCTAGCCAGGTTTTTCCTACGTAACCCAGGTTTTTCTGCAGCCCTAGCTCAGTAGAATCACATCCACTCAATTCTGGGCTTTTTTCCTTTCTGGCAGCCAGCAAGTTCTTGCTGCTAGGTGAGAGACTAGAGACTAAATACTATTTGGAAACCTGCTATCATAGACAGACGAATCTTAACGCAAAATATAAACCATAGATCAAAGATTCATCACAATGCTTGTGTTGCCACCATTTCCAGCATAACTTATCCATTAACCCACAACCAAGCATCAACGCTTCCACCCAATCAAAATACAGCTACGTCATCAGCCAATCAGAATACAACAACACGGTCGACCAATCAGAATATATCATAGAAAAACGTCAGTTACGATCACACAGTTTGCCCATAAGCACCAAACCGAAAACTTCAGCCAGAAGATGACGAATGTGATTTCGTCGAAACGTCGCTACTACCCTTTTAGGGATATGTTTACAATTACATGGGAAGAAACCCGAAATATTAACTGTACACACATATATACCCGTGAAAACTTACATACATACATACATACATACATACATACATACATACATTCACACATACAAAACATATACAAACACATACTTTTTAAAATAAACTAAAGGAAATTACAACATTTGTACAATTAATGTAATGTCATTCTTCTGGGAAATTAACAAATGAAAACTATAAATGCAAATCCACAAAATCTCATAATTGATAAGCATAGCAGTTTAAAAAAGGAAAACAAAACTGAAAATTAGTATTATAACAAGACCATCCCCAAAAGCATTGATACATATTTGGGAAGTGGGGAATGGTTTAATTTTATTTGCAAAAGAAATAAAACAAATATTAATGGACAGTTTACATAAGTAGTCCATTTCTGTAATAATCTGGATAGATCTTCAATGCAGTACTTCAATACTTCAATAAAACTGACCAACTAGGGATAGTTGAGTGTAAGCAAATTGATTGCCTTGCCTATCATATTGTCCTATTGTAGCTTGAGCCTGGAGATGGTCTCCTACTCAGCACTTCCCAAATTCGCCAACTTGTCTCCCCTGCAACATGTTGCCTAAATTTTGCCCACTAAATATTGAGGAAAGCAAGTGCTCTACTGTTGGAGTGTTTTTCTTGGAAGCCACCAGCCAGTGCTTTGGCAGTAATAAAAACTTATGATGAGACTCCACCTTCTCAATAGTAATGTCTAAATATTTTTTCTAAGCTAGACAGCTTTCACAATGCTGTGGAAACACTTGCAATGGAAACAGATCAAGCTAATCAACCATGACCTGTGCCACAACATTTCAAACCTGCCCTCTTTAAGTTGCTGAAAACATTCAACATCCTGGCTAAGACATGTTGGTGAGTGCACAGGAGAGTACATACACACATTAAACTATTCAGAACCCCCTTAGTGAATACTAATGCTCTTTCAGGCTGGACAGATTCATTATACATATTAGAAAGTTATATGTATATAACTCTGGTTATATGGTTGAAGTTCAACCAGAATCAGAATAATAGAGCTGGAAGGGGCCTTGGAGGTCTTCTAGTCCAACCTCCTGCTCAAGCAGGAGAACCTATACTATTTCAGATAAGTGACTGTCTAGACTCCTCTTAATCATGGGTGATGGAGCACCCATGATTTCTGGAGGCAAGCTGTTCCAATAATTAATTTTCCTCACTGTTAGGAAGTTTATCCTTAATTCCAGGTTGTTTTTCTCTTTGATTTGTTTCCAACCATTGTTTCTTGTCCTCCAATGCAATGATGCATTGGAGAATAATTTAACCCCGTCTTCTATGTGGTAGCCTCTCAAGTACTGGAATACTGCTGTCATGTTACCCCTAACTCTTTTTTTCTTTAGATTAGCCAAACCCAAATCCTGCAGCCGTTGTTCATATGTTATAGTTTCCAGGCCTTTGATCATCTTAGTTGCTCTTTGCACTTTTTCCAAAGTCTCAACACCTTTTTTATAGTATGGTAACCAAAATTGGTTGCAGTATTCCAGGGATGGTCTTATTAGGATTTTATAAAGCAGCACTAATACTTCATGTTACTTTAATTCTATGTCTCTGTTTATACAACCCAGGCTTGTATTAGCTTTTTTGGCAGCAGCTGCACACTACTGGCTTATATTCAAGTGATCATCCACTAAGGATGATCAATCTTCAATTCAAATAATTTATCCTGTTGTTTTTGTGCTGTTCTACCCTGTTTTCCCCAAAATAAGACATCCTCTGATAATAAGCTCAATCGGGCTTTTGAACACATGGCAATAAGGCCAAAGGCTTATTTCAGAGTTCAGAAAAATATAACACAGGGTCTTATTTTTGGGGAAACATAGTAGATGTTCAGTGATTATTTAAATTCTTCTACTTCTACAGTTAGAGGGCTTTATTCTTTCTGAGGCAAAAGAAAGAGTGCCTGATTTTCAAATGAAACAATTGAATAATTATGCTGGCTTCCTCTATATTCAAGTACTCCTGGTTTGCCTCTACATTTTGAGTTACTTCTGGCAAGGGTTTATTTCCTTTGCCCCAACTAGCTGTTTACTATTCTTTCAATTTTTCTTTTGTGAATACTTTCTTTTGTATTTTTGATGTTTACACTAGCCTCTGCTCTGTTATTTCTGGTTCTATATGTAATTCTTTCCAAACTTGGTGCATTCATTTCAAATATTCTCTTCTCGTCGGTCTATTATAACAGGTTATTTGTTTGTTTTCTATCACTGTATCTTAGCAGCAGGCAAACATCTTTTCTTTCATTAATTTTAAGCCAACAATCCTGAAGCCCATTTTTCATCAAATGTTCAGGTTCTCCAACACCTGTCATGATGCTTGTTCAACTGGGCGATGATCGAGCTGGTATGGGTTTCTGTAATTTACATGTCACCATTTTTTTCTTTTTCTTTTGGAAGAGACACTCTGTTTGACTCCTCTGATGAGATCTGTCCAGTAAGGTTGAACCTCTAGCATAGCTGTCATCTTCCTCAAAGCACACAAACCCCACAACTATGTCAGGGTACTGCCTTGCTGGAGGACAGTGTGTTTGGGCAG